GAAATGCACCTTCTTCAGGGTGCTGTCGATCTCCTCCAGAGGCGGGAGGCAGTCGTTCCGCGGGCGGCGCGCGCGCGGGGGGGATCGCTGGAAAGATGTCTTTGAAGGGGCCCTGGGACACACAAATAAATCGACACAAATAACAAGATTCCACATAGTTTCCCATATATTCGGGGTTATGGTCCTCCCCCCACTTCCCATTTTTTCCTATATTTTCCGGGGAATCGACGATTGATTGGGTCTGTGTGTTTTTTTCCCCTCCTGAATACAGTGCAGGCCAGTCCAAAAGAAACCGCACACAAGAAACCCAACCCTGAGCCCCCAGGACGTCCATTGATTTTTCGCGTGGGCACGTCACGCGTGCCCAAGCGAAATTCGATCGAGGCTCACGAAACCCAGGGCACCCTGGAGGCAGCCAGGGTGTTTCGTGGCATGGGTCTCCACTGTACAGTCGAAACGCTCTCATAAGGAAGCCTGCGTAAGGAACAAGGCCCCTTGCTCCATCCATGAAACTTCGATTTCCTGAAGAACGCTGGAGGAACACCTGAGACAAGCTGCAAAACAATTCAGGAACACTGACCTGAGCCACTCCCCCGAGACAAGGGGCTTCCTCTTCCGCGGCCCGGCTGCGAATGGCGGATCCGTGGATCTGGCGCGCGGGCCCCGGGTCCACGGATCGGGGAAATCCCCCCCCCGAAACGTGGCGCCAGCGCCGCCCGAATTGGCGACGGAGGGTACCGATTCTGGACGGAAGCGGGACCCGTCGCGAACCTGGGCACCTTCATGCGTGCTTACTCGAACCGAAGCAGCAGGTGTGGGTGAAAGAAGAGCCTCGGGCACTCAGATCCTACTTATCTCGCACACGCCAACACGGATTACGGATCCTTGGATCTGGCGCGCAGGCGCCGGGTCCACGAGGGCGAAATATGGCGCCAATGCCGCCTGAATTAGCGACAGAGCGCGCCGATTCTGTATGGAAGCCGGACCCGTTGGTAACCCCCGCGCCCTCATCCGTCTGTGCGGCACTCGGGAGGCGATGGAAGACGGGGGAAGACTCCCGGAGGACGAGGACGAGGGAAGAGGTTGAGCAGGTGCGGATGAGCGAAAAGCCTGGGGTCCGGGGTGGGCAAAACCCCCTTTAGTAGAACGAGGTTCCGTGAAGACGACATCGGGTCCAACCCTGGCGGGCGCGAGCCTGGAAACTGACGGCCGCGGCGCCCTCTCGAGAACCCCAAGAACGGATAATTCACTAATCTACGTGTCAGGGTGGGGGCTCTGTCCATCCCCGACCCACATTTAGGTCACCCCCCGTTACCACCCGCCCGAAGCGCTGCGTTTTCCCGTCCTGCCCAGCCTCCTCCCGTCCGTCTTGCCTTCCCCCTCCTCCTCCTCCTCCTCCTCCTCCTCCTCCTCCTGCTCCTCCTCCTCCTCCTCCTCCTCCTCCTCCTCCTCCTCCTCCTCCTGACTGGGGCACTCTGGGGTACCCAAACCCTAACGTGGGCACGCGCCAGCCCGGAGTGCGGGCCCGTGGATCCGGCGCGTGGGCGCCAGGTCCGCGGCTGGTGCCGAACCACAGCGCCGCCGCCGCCGGAATTGGCGACGGAGCGCCTCTCCATGCGGTGTCTCGGAGCGGTGCCTGCGCGCACTTCCTCGACGGATCCGCTGTGCCGAAGTCCACGTCTGCACTTCCTCGACTAATCAGGTGATGGAGGAGAGGAGGGGAAGTGCGTAGGCCATCACGGCACCCACCCAGAAACTGATCCATCATCATCATCATCATCATCATCATCATCATCATCATCATCATCATCAGCAGCAGCAGCAGCAGCAGCATCAGCATCAGCATCATCATCATCAGCAGCAACATCATCAACAAAAGCATCACCATCAGCATCA